TTTGTTGTGTACAAATTATTCTTTTTACCGAGTACCGAATCAAAAGATTCATTTCCCAGGTCGATCTCACGAGGAAGGCGGTTCGGAATTCAGTTTTGGTATCGATTACACATAAAAGAAAATAAAATCCTAAACATTCTAATCAGATAGCGGGTTTGATAAATTATTAGCTAAGAAATAATAAAAAGCATAATCTACCTAAAATGTGAATGAAACAAGGATGGAGAAGCTAGGGAATCGGGGATAATTAATTCAAGTTCTAGCAAAGTCGGGCTATCAATTGTTCAGTTCGAGATTGACACTCTCGCTTATACATCTAGCGGTTCGCTCCCAATAACTCTTCGTAACAAGGGATTGAACATAGACGAACAAGTTCGAGTATACAACATAGGCCAATTATCCCAATCCCAATAACTTTTCGTAACAAGGGACGGGTCATCGACAAGCACGTATTTCAATCTAAAACACATAGACTATTCAATTACGAAATCATCTACCTCATGTGAGCCTATTTCTACGACTTCTCCCCTTTCGGTTCTGAAAGCTGCTAAGTCAATTAGAAGGTATTCAATCAACTAATCATATAAAATTGATAAACCCTAACTCGACACATTAACATCCAACTGTCACCAATAGCAAGATCGAAATGTCACTTTTCGATTATATCAATCTATCGAATACAAATTCATCAATTCCTTATCCAAACAACACACATAAGTATGAACGAATCGAAGCCCGACAAGATACAATTCAAACAAGAAAAATCATTCCCCTATCCCTAGCGACAGAAATTAGCTACGTAAATCAAATTCAACAATCATAATCAATTCTCCAAATTCAACCATTATTCATGAGTTAAACAGAAGAGAAAAGAAAATTACCAATAATCTCAAATCCACGGGTTGAACATGAATTACAAGCCTAATCCCAAAATCAAGAACAAATTTTAGATAAAAAATATAGAAAATAAAGATTAAGAGAAAAAAAAGATCGAAAAAGAAGAAGAAAGAAGGGAAGAGGAGGAGATTGGGTGTTTTCTCGGGACCTAGGGCTTCCACCTGGTCGAGAGATCCTCTTTTTCGAGTGTAGAACGTGTTATTTATATTAACAGGAGGGCCCGGCGTGGAAAAGAACATGTGCCGCGGCACGGCTTCGCCGCGGCGTGACGCAAGGAAATCTGGCCTCTGTCGACCTCGTGCTAGTGGCGCGGCGTGGGAGAAGGGGCGCATCGCGGCGCGAGGCTATGGCACGGCGTGGGAGAAGGGCGCATTGCGGCGCGAGGAACTCATCTGCCGCGGCGTGGAGTCTGACGCGGCGTGGCACTGAAAGATCTGAGCTCTGATGGGGTCGTGGCGGCTGCGCGGCGCGATGGGCGCTCTTGCCGTGGCGTGGTAGTGCTTCACGGCGCGGAGGGAGCTTGTGTCGCGCCGCGGAGGTGTTGCCGCGCCGCGGCGCGCGAGACTGCTGGTACACTTCGCTTCTCGAGCTCGTTTGGACTCGTCCGAACTTGGAATTCGATTCCGTTTTTTCCTACGCGTCGCTAACGAGCTCCTCTTTCTAATGGTGTCAGCTTGCCCAAAACATTCTCGAAAACCTGTTCTCCCGGGATCTCCAAACTACACACCAAAATGAAAAGAGATCAGAAAAAAAACCGGAAAACAAACGGAAAACTCCGCAACACTCAATTGAACGCAAAACACATAATAAGTGACAAAAAGATCCTAAAACCACCTAAACGACTCGATACAGGGGAAAAACAACGGTAAAATAATGACTAAAAATGACACAAAAATGGGACAAACACACTACAACCGTTCACGATGGGGTTTTCATGTACATCTAAGTTGTGAACCATTAATTTTTGTTTCGCGAGTAACTGATAATATGATCTTCGGTTCGCCTGATGACGACCCACACTATCTAATGCAAAACAACATGACGTAGAACTTGTTTAATCTAACATGTTTCTCATTCATAAAGGGTAAAAAAGTTTAATATCATCCAAAGCCAAGTGTTGATATCCGAGTGAGCCAGGAGGGAATTATGAGTTTAAGTGATCAGGGCAATAACAGGAACAGTTTTTGAGGTCGGCGCCCGGCCCCAAAAAGCCAAGGCGCCGACCTCACTAGACGCCGGGCTGAAAAGGGGATCCTGAAAGCTCAAGGAATACATTTGGTTCGGGTCTCGACCTGGAGACCCAGAGTAACCACCTTGGGGGCGAGCACGTAGCTCAATAATATTAAAATAATGCCACTTGGAAGATCATCATTGGCGATTGGACGGGCCGTCGTAGCCTGCCACCCTATCGGAATCTAGCCCGACAAAAGCCTGCCAGTCATTAAATGCCCCCATATGTGCATTAAATTTCTGACAGGTAATGATTGGTAAAACCTCAAATCGCATTTAATAAACTGTCAGGGATGCGCTGAACTGCTCTGCAAGGACACTGTACGACAAGACCGGTGAATAGTCCCAGAATAGTAGCATTTAAGGATGCTATAAATAGGAACCCTCTCATTTATTTTGGGTTGTTGAATCTCAACCAACTCCCAGAACAGTAGCATTTCTCTCTCTAAGATTTGTAATAAATCCCTGTAATAACTCTATCTGCAACACAAATGTCGGCCTCGTACGAGAGGCCGACCTCGTGATTATATAAGAAACCGTAATTAAACCGTATTTTCTCTTCATCTTCAGTCTCTTATTTTTACTAACTTTATTTTAATCGTTGATCAGATCCGTCCATCAACACCAAGCTTTCAGTATATAACACTAACAAGGAGGAGCTGCCTCCGGTAGCAGGTCCGGGGTGGTCCGCTTGGGTGGAGAATTTGACTGTCTGGTGTTGTTTCAATTAGTCGGGTTAGCCACCTCTGGAGTTTTGGAGCTATATTCGGGTTGGGTTCTTATTCGTGTGGCCGGTTGTCCCTGGGTGCTGTGTTCGTTGCTTCGCAGTTGGTTGCCGGTTGGGGGAAGGGTTTATTCTAGTATTGTGTGTGTATTTTGTTTCTGTGTTGTTTTCGGTGTGTTGGTGTGCTGTTTTATTATTTTTTTTTAGAAGTGTGATTCTTCTTTGTAAAAGTTTGATTCTCTTTTGTGGGAGTGTTCAGTTTAGTTTAGTTTGTTGGGGGTAGTGGGTGAGTTAGTTTGACTATTTCTATGATGCACTTATGTGTGTACTCCTCTCGCTAGATTCGGCTCCATAGCTGTTTGACTTATTCTGGCTGATGTCTAGTTGTATCTCTATGTTTATGTTATAAAATTTATGGTTTCGAAAAATAAAAAACTATAGATTCACACAAAAAAATTACTCATGATATTGTTCACACAAAAAATTAAGAAAAGTTGTATACTCATAAAATATTATTGCAAAACTTTTTTTTAAGTTATTTATTATAAAAATTAGTATTTCATTTCATTTGTATGCCAATAAGTTGCTTTCTTAATACCTAATTAATTTTAGCAAATTAATATCCACAAAATTGTATAAACTATAATAATAATAATAATAATAATAATAATAATAATAATAATAATAATAATAATAATTTAATTTCCTTGAACTAACTAATTGAGAACAATCTCTTAAAGTTGTAAAAATTACATTAGTTCATAGCATTTTATGTCATTTATATATTGATTCATACACTATTGAAATAGTATAATTATATTATTCATTTGTACTTGATCAAATTTTAAAAAATTGATATGTTTATTTAATAGTGAAATAGAAGTCATTCGATCTCATCTCGAACTATTACAGTGAGAAAACGACTCCTTCGACCCCGAACAGCTCCCACACCTACAAGAACTCAACGCCGGAAGATGATGTTTTTCGTCGAAGAGCCTCCAACACTTAAGTCAGTATCAGTCTGAGATGATAAACGGTGAATAAGTATGTAAAGTGTGTAGAGAATGTAAAAACAAAACTAACCTACCACACCCTATTATATAGGGGAGGTGATATCTTGTTCCCCAAGTCTGCCCACAGAGTTGACCCGACAGCCCTTACTGTCCGTTCGTACGACCTGCAACGCCTTAGATTGTCAGGTGTCAGGGGTGCAGATGACCCAATCCCATAGTGACACGTGGTCTAATCCTCGTATAGTGCGGTTTCCCAAATAGATACCCCTTCTGTCCCTTTGAGAGACCAAGTCTACGTCATCAAGTCGAACTTTTGTCTGGTAGAATATGGTCCTCTTCAGTTCCCCTATCAGTCATGTAGATTGCGGTCGATTCGACCTCTCGGTGTTCCAAGGTATGGTCGAGTGTGAGCTTATCTAATAATTACATCCATTCTTAGTGGGCATCGTTGGTTATTATCTCCTTATGAACGTAGGTCGAGCTACTCTGCTAATCCGACATGGCTGCTCGGTTCCTTTGACGGGTTCGAGTCAGTACTATATTCTATATCAATATTATATATTTTTTATTATAAATATAATATTCACACATATAATTATTGTTTATTTGCATATGTAAACATGATTAAGTACTAATTTTTAATATAAATAAGAGTTTCATTATCATAAAATTATTCTGTCTATTTTTACAACAAATAACAATTTTTCGTAATTTTCATCTGAAAGGTCGACTGGGAGGGCCGTCACCGATCCGGCCCGAAACAGCCACTTGCCAGTCACCGAGAGTCCGAAACCCCATAACCTTGCTTCCGACCTCAACAGCTTATTTTCAGCGCTGAGCCACCGCTTTCAACCCCGCCGCTCCGTCGTCGAGATTTTTAAGGTAAGCAGATACATCCCCACTCGCTTTTCAGATTTTGGTCCTAACGAAATTGCTGTATAAAAAGCATCGAGTACCGTTTAGCTCCTTTGCCATCAAGTTCCAATTTTTTTTCTTGGGTTCCTCTTTTGGTGTTGGACTTATGTGTTTCTCGACTTGTTGCTTGAGGTTCTGTTATCTGCTCTAACTTTGGGATTTGGATCTTACCTAATTTTTGGTACTCCCGTATCTTTTGCAGTAATTGGATACATACAATCATGTCGTGGTGCACCATTGAGTCGGATCCAGGTATGTGTGTTCTTTTGCAACTTTATCTCTAAAGACATGACTGTCTTTCGATTTTGAACGTAAATGGCCCATCTTCTTTGGTAAAGGGGTAAATTTGAAGAGAATTGACTTACTGTGCGTTGTGTGTCATGAACATTTGTAAGAAGGATTTCGATATTCAAGTTGCTAGAAAAGATGGTTTGATATCGCCAGTTACCCCGGTGATTCTTGCTCTTAAATTGTTAAAACATTGGCAATGAGCATATTTGATTTATTGAAAGTTAATATGGGCGTCGTGATATTGAACTATACCATTGAACTTGATATTGTAGATGCAGTTCAACATGCTAGTCTTAAGAAGATCAATAATCTTTCTAATTTCATACATGATTCTGGTCATTAGCAAAGTTTCTAGTTTAATATATAATAGTGGTCATTCCAATTGCTTTGAGCCCAAACTCTTACCATATAATTTCATATAACGGCGATTCAATGAAACACCGCATTTTTGTCAAACTTCTCTTACTGAACTCTCTTTTCTTACTGTGGCCACCGAATCAGCGTTTGTATTAAATGGAATTTGAGTTAGCTTGTGTTTGTTTTCATACCTTGAGTTTGGATGTAGATCTTTAGGTACTTGCATAGTTGAATTATCATTTCTTTGTTGACAAATTTTATTATTTTTCTAGTTCAAACACAACTTCAATAACTTGCCCAGGTTGCCATTTTATAAATTTTGCATTGAAGAGGACTGCATTTGTCTTTAATTTATCACCTAGACAGGATAACCTTATGTTTTTCTTTATAGTCTTCATGTTGATATGGAAGTGAGATAATATGTAAATGACTGAAAATAAACCAGAAGATTAGTATCAGTAGGCTCCACGCTTCAAAGAGATTTTAATTGGATTAGTCTGTAGGATATTGTTTCCTGCTGCACCATCTTGTTAAGGTGCAGAGAATCTTGTGGTTGGGGTTTTGCACTGCAGTCAGTTAGTAGCATGTCCTGTAGATGACCAGTCTATCTTTCTGCCATCCTCGTGAACTGCACAACTGCTCCCAACGCTGCCTGTTCCCTTACTTACTACGAGAAACTGACTGAAATCCACGGGGTGCTTTTACTTAGGCTTGGCTGTTCAGTCTACCAAATTGCATTAAATGTTACAGAAAGCCAAAGTTTGTTCTTTCTCTGAATTTGCGACTATGTGAGTCTAGCTCAGTATTCTTTAGACACTCAATTTGATTTCTCAAGTGACAAATTTTCTTATGAAATGATGACAAAAAGCAGTGTGCGCTATGTCCTCGAATGGAATCTGTTCTTGTGGCAACAATTATTCACATGTATAACCTTACTAAACAGAAGTTAGGTTAAAAGCTTGCCTAATTTAATAAACATTTTACTGAAATGCCAAATGCGAGTGCTGATTTGCAGTTTACTATTGTTGGTTAAAGTGCTATACAATCAAGCTGGTTTAGGAATGTGGAGGCAATTACAAGTTACAACATGTACTCATGATATATAGTTGTCCGGTAAAGAGCTATTTAATCAAGTTGGGTTTAGCAAGTAGGCTAGTTTGAAACTCAGGTTTACAGGAAGAAGGGACCTCAAACATGTACTTGTGAGATAATTTAAATGCACTTAATAATTATCTCTTTCCTTTATAATATATTTAAAATTTGTTCCATGTTCCTCAATTCAAGATGGTAGTGAGAAACTATATATATACAATTATACATAGATATGTATATTTATTGACCTGTATTTGCATGTTGTTTTGGACACTTTTACTTTAATATCTGTAATTGACAGGCGCTTCAGCAGTTGAGCATAAAAATCAGTTTTACATGTAATATGCCGTGGATTTCCAATTCATTCTGCACAAAACTGTAACATGATTGATATTAAATTTGTTCTTGTACTGCTACTGCAGGTGTTTTCACTGAACTTATACAACAGATGCAAGTTAAAGGAGTTCAGGTATTGCCAATATTCCATTTTCACTTGGTGCTCTAGAATTGGCTGTCATAATTGTAGTGTACTCATGCTAACTTGGGGTTCTGCTCGAACAACGTGGCTGAGTTACAGGCCTTTAGAATGGTCATGGTTATCTCTAATTCAAACTTATTCATTTGTCTTTGTTCTTTGACACGATCTTATCCCTCTTTTTGGATTCCTGCTATTGGCAAAAGACGATTGGATGTGTTCAAACTTTGTATTCCTAACTATTACTTTTAGCAAGTGTCTAAAGTTCTTCATTTGATTTTTTTGTGAGAGCAGGTTGAGGAGTTGTATTCCTTGGATCTTGATTCTCTAGAAAAATTTAGGTAAACGTCATTGTTGGTTTAATGGATTTCTCCAATGATGAAATTTCGAATTCGAGCCCACTTGCACTCATGGCTTTTTTTTTTTTTTTTATTATTAATATTTTTTTTAATCTTCTCCAATCTACAGGCCGGTGTACGGGTTAATTTTCCTCTTCAAATGGCGATCCGGTGAAAAGGACGACCGCCCCGTGATTTCGGACCCGAACCCCAACCTCTTTTTCGCCAGCCAGGTCAGCACCCAAATCCATTACTTTATTCGGCACAGGAAAATTTAAAGATCCCCATATTTGCTGCATTTTGCAGGTCATAAACAATGCCTGCGCCACCCAAGCAATCCTCTCCATTCTCGTGAACAGCCCGGACGTCGACATCGGGCCCGAGCTGTCAGCTCTGAAGGAGTTCACCCGCAACTTCCCACCGGATCTCAAGGGCCTGGCCATCAACAACAGCGAGGCCATCCGCACTGCCCACAACAGCTTCGCCAGGCCCGAGCCCTTTGTCCCGGAAGAGCAGCGAGCCGCAGGCAAAGACGATGATGTCTACCACTTCATAAGCTACATACCCTTTGACGGGACCCTTTACGAGCTCGACGGGCTCAAGCAGGGCCCTATCAGCTTGGGCCCACTTCTCCCCGGCGACGGGTCCGGGTGGCTGAGGGCAGTGGTGCCGGTGATCCAGGAGAGGGTCGAGAGGTACTCGCAAAACGAGATACGGTTTAACTTATTGGCGGTGATCAAGAACCGGAAAGAGGTGTATACGGCTGAGTTGGAGGAGCTGCAGAGGAGGAGGGAGCAGGTGCTGGCGGCAGTGCCGCCGCCGGAGGAGGCGGATGCTGAGCTGGTGGAGATAAATTTGGGGATAGAGGCGGCCAAGGAAGGGATAGTGGCGGAGGAGGAGAAGTTTAGGAAGTGGAGGACTGAGAACGTGAGGCGCAGGCATAATTACATACCGTTTCTTTTCAATTTGTTGAAGGTGCTGGCTGAAAAGAAGCAGCTGAGGCCTCTGGTGGAGAAGGCCAGGCAGAAGGCGGGCGGCAGGTCATAGGGTCGTGGAGTCTTGAGTAGAGTGCATCGGGTAATCGGTGGTTTTGTTTTTCGACATCTTATGGTGAAAACTTAACTGTTTTATTTTATCATGCTGTGAGTTTCTGACAGTGGAATGTTCACAAATGAAGGATGCTAATGTTATTGCATCTCTACTTCCCTTAATATTATTATAATCTATCTTTCGTGGAAGCGATTTGTGGGTATCACTTTTGTTCTTTTTTATTTCCAAAATTTGCTCATGATTTTGAGTCGTTCAATTTAGTTGAGGAGTGGTGAAACTGTATAGGTGAGCTTTGTATTTGGTTTACCGTTAGGACATGTGATATAATAATATAACATAAAATAATAAGAACAATGTTGTGGTGAAACTGTAACACCCGCTTTTATTTTTAAAGAAATCTCATACTTTCTCCACTTTTATTTTTAAAGAAATCTCATACTTTCTAAAAAATTGTAACACTCCACTTTTATTTTTAAAGAAATCTCAGACTTTCCAAAATTCAGATAAATTTTTTCGAGATCTTTTTCGAAATCTATTGGGTGTTAAACAACATTTTTCATAACCTAAATTTTATCTGGGTCCACGGGGTTCATTACCCGGTTTTCACAAAGGTTTTCATTAACCCATTTCATATCGCATAACAATATACTCATCATAAATATTCAAACTTCATAAAACCAAATATCATAAGTTCAATAATAAGAGTTCATCGAGTATTCCCAAACATCAAACAAATCACATGTTTGAAAAAGTTTTCACATGCCTCGGCATAAATGGTTCAAAAGAAACCACATTTATTCAGACGGAAGCGTAAATAAAATAAACACATGACCGACCCACTCGCCCCTCGATCGTCATGCTCGCCAACCTGTCTTAACCTGCATCCATGAAGAGCAGGTGGGGATGAGCACAATAGGAAAATGAGGTGCTCACCACTATGCACGTATATTATAATAACAACAATGTCAAGAGAGTATGATCGCAGTATGAATATAAATCAATTATCTGTCGCGTCTCCTAATCACATCACAACATATTACCCACGTGTACACATCTTTCATTAGCCACGAAAAGGGGATTCATTACCCTAACTCATGGGGGTACGTGCCACGCTATGGACACGGCCTTTCATTAGGTCTTAGATTGCGGTAACCGTATTACATCGACGGGGACAACCGTACCGACAGCCGAATCGGCTCACGCCGATAGGCTACATGGTTTACACGCATACTTAGATCATACCAACCCGACATAAATGAAACACATATTCGACATAGCATTTTTAATAAGTAAACCCACCTGGACAATAACAAGCGAAAACACAAAAATTACGGGTAAGCGGCGAGCTCGGCTCGTCAAGCACCTACATTTATTATAAAGGGACCTATCAATGACTATCCGACACATGGATATACTCATATCAACATTCATTACATACAATCTGCCCATTTAAATCTTGTACTATCATAACACAAAATTATGCTATTAATATGTGAGATTTCAAACAATTTTATAAAATTGTGCACTTAATATTTTAAGCTGAAACTTGGTTACATACTTCATTTCACATGTGAAAATTTTACATAAAAGTTTCTGATTAAAAACACAAACATGGACTGACTACTCTTGCATATAAAAGCATCTAGACATACATGCGGTATAAACTTTTTAACTCATTCATTACTCAACCTAAATTAATGAAATTTTACAGGCATACTCTAAACACATATATAGAGTCTTCATAAAAATTTCAAATTTTTACCATGCATATATTTCGAGTTATTCACATTTAAAGTTGCTGCTAGAAAGATACAATCGAGTTCGGTTTGCATGCTTTACCTCATAAGCTTCTATCTTTGTATCTCCTAATATACTCAACCAGTTAACATAAAATTTTCTATATGAACTCAACACACATACAATAAATAACCATTAGCAGTTCGATATCATATGTTGTTCATAGATTGGTCAATTTCCTCATAAAATAACATATAATAAGAATTCATGCAAAATGAGAATACTTTTATCTTCTATCATAAATATATCCTCATCATAACTGAAACTTAGCCACACTTTAACACTCATAACAACATACTAACTAAGCTATTAATATGTATAAAAGATGGTCTTCTTACCTTCTTCAAGGAACAAGAAAAACGCAAGCAATGAAGGAGGTGACTCGGGTGTGGGAGTTGTCCTAGAGCTCTCGACTTTGTTCTCTTAATGGAGGGAGTTTGGGCGTTTGCTAAGTGATTGAGGGAAAAATGCTGAGTGATTAATGTCTATTCTCAGCCAATGAAACGAGATTTATCATCTATCTCATTTGAGTACAAACAAAAATTTAATAAAAGGGGTAGAAAATAGTGGTTGAACTTCCATTAATTTGTATGAGGTATATTATTGACTAAGGACTCCTATTCTCGACCAAATGGTAGATTAGCTGGACTAACATGTTCTGGTCGAGTATCTCTCATAAAAAAAATAACATGGTTTGATCAACTCTAAATAAAACAAGACAATCTCTAACATCTTGCAATTATTTAAAAATCTTAGACGCATGTGATGTTGTTTGTTTGAGTTGGTGAGTGGTCTTTTTATTTATTATTATTATTATTATTATTATTATTATTATTATTATTATTATTATTATTATTATTATTATTTTTTTTTTTTTTTTTTTTTTGTTTAAAACGTGAAGGTGGCTGAAACATGTGCATGGTTTATTGAACAAAAAGATTCCAAACTAGCTACAAGAAAAGAGTTCACATATCTTGGTCAACTAGACATCTTCTCATTAAAATTTTACTCTTGCACATGTCACTTAATTCACATGTGTAGTTGACTTCCCTTTCTCATTCACATAACTAAATCGGGTCACATGAATCCTAAACCACATGATATAACTCTCATGACGTGGTTCTTGACATAAAATATTCATGATAAAACATATTCACTTCGAAAGTGAGCTGGCTCGGTGTTTATTACCCCGATAATAAGTTGTACAAAGTAAAACTACAAGTTTTTCTCTTGGTTTGAATTAAAATCTACTAAATCTTTAATTACTCAGAAACTTTGGAAAAAAAACCTATATTTCAATTACTGAGGCTCGGTTCAAAATGCTACAAAAACGAATTAAAACGGACAACAATCCGACTTACGCGATGAAACCAAAAACTAAAAGGTCGATTGATAAAATAAATCCAACAAATTGTATATTGTCCACATAATAACATAATATATAATCACATAATCAAGACATATAAATGATAAAATAAAATACCATTAATTTAAATAAACTATGAAAAAATCTAATATTCGAACGGGGCGCTATAATCTACTGAAAGTTCCATGCAAGAATACCAATATTGAATTCTCCATTGGTGTGCCATCTTCCTTCCACCTACTTCCTTCATTCATCCATGCAAGCCCACCATTGAAGAAAGCCTCCATCAACCAACTTCTCTTTTCACACATGCATGTCAATGGTGGTGTGCTAAAGCATGCCTATAAATAGGTTTCTCATTTCATTCATTCAAATCATCCAAGAGTGTGATCAATCAACCTTGAGAGTGTTGAAACACAACCAAGAAAGAGTTGTGGAGTGTTTGGAAGTTTTTTGTCTAGAGTTTGTAAATCTCTTGTTTTTATTCTTGTGAGTAATAGAAATATGTTTTTCTCTCAAATTATGTTTATGATCTTGGGATGATACCACAACAAGTGGTATCAGAGCTTGGTTTGAAGCTTTCGAGCTTATTTTCGAAATTTTTCGAGGCTCTGTAAAAATTTCGAGTTTTTGCGCTGTGCTCGAAATTCAATTTCGAGGACACCGTTAGATTCGTCTCGTCGAAACGATCGCGATGATATCTTACGGGCAAAAAACGGACACCAGAGCTGCTTCGAAAAGCCTCCGCAAGTTATGAAAAAAAATAAAAAAATCGTAAGGTTGAAGATGATGACGTGTTGTCACGTCATCTGACACGTCATCGCCACATCAGCAAGGAAGGCCCAGTCATCAACCCAGTGAGCTGCCACGTCAGTAGCCCAGTCAGTCACCAGGTCAGTACTCCAGTCAGCTGCCACGTCATCGAAAAAAAAATCGTGAGGTTGAACATGATGATGTGTTGCCACGTCATCGCCATGTCAACAGGGGGTCCCAGTTTTTTCCACGTCAGCAGCCCAATCAGCAATCCAGTTAGCTGCCACGTCAGCCCGTCTGCCTAGTCAGCTGCCACATCATCGGAAAAAAAACCTACCCTCCCATTTTCGACTGTTCTGGACGCATCGGTGCTGTCTATTTTTCAAAATTCAGCTCTGATTTGTCCGTTACATATCATTGAAGGTGTAAAATGACCATGGAAGAGTCAACTTCATCTTTTGGAGCTATGATTATGCTCACGGCTACCAACTATACGCTGTGGAAACCTCGGATGGAAGATTTCCTCAGCTGTAAAGAGCTCTTTGACCCAATAGAGCTGAAGGGTATTAACCCTGATCCGTCCAAGGCGTTGGAATGGAAGAAAATCAATAGAAAAACTATTGGTCAAATCCGACAATGGATTGATCATAGTGTCTTCTATCATGTTTCACAAGAAACCGACGTATATGTCCTTTGGAGGAAGCTAGAGGACATGTACAAGTCCAAGACCGCTCGGAATAAGGCCTTATTGATGAGGCGCTTAGTCAATATGAAGTTGAAAAGTGGAACTTCTGTTGCCGAGCATACCAGTGAGTTCCAGAGCCTGGTAAATAAGCTATCTTGTGTGGAGATGCCGCTTGGAGATGAAATGCAATCTCTGCTATTTCTTAGTTCCCTTCCTGAAAGTTGGAAAACACTCGTTGTTACTCTAAGCAACGCAGCCTCAAACGACAAACTTTCCATGTCCGTTGTCAAGGATGCCTTATTCAATGAAGAGGCAAGAAGGAAAGACATGAGCACAAATCAGACTCATGGCCATGTGATGGAGAATCGAGGAAGACCACAAGGCAAGCAACAAAGA